AGGCTGGGACCTTTTTGTCTCTTTCCCCACTTCCATCAGAGTGCCTCAGACAGGGCGTGGACACCAGAACTACTTGGCAAATGGCTGATTTTCTCTGTGATCTTCTTTTCTAGCTACTAAGTGGTTAGTTTCCCCTATATTTCTTGTTAAGAATCTCAAAGATGCAAGGATCCCACCACTATTTTAACATTAGGGTTCAGGTTCTCGGGCTAGCCCAGGCTTTTTTTTTTTAACATTAGGGTTCAGGTTCTCAGGCTAGCCCAGGCTTTTTTTTTTTAAACATTAGGGTTCAGGTTCTCAGACTAGCCCACGGAAAAGTCTGGACTGACCACAGTGTATCAACTGCCCACCCCTAAGTCAACGAGTACAGTGCCCAGGATGTCCATACCAGCAAGAGGAAGGCGACTTCTAGTGGGCATTGAGGCTGGGGGTGAGGCTGGAGGGAGCAGGTTAGCCAATCTCACGACGGCCACGTCAAAGGACAGGGTCTTTGTAGTCCTTATTCCACAGAGACAGGAATCCTGTTTTCCCAACAACATTATCAATATTTTAACAACAAATACTTTCAGACCTGCCCATAACACGAACAAGAACGGAAAATTCATTACTGTCGTACAGGGGGTTTAAGCCGCTGCTTGCAATGCTGGCATCCCATACGAGCACTAGTTCAAGTCCTGGCTACTTTAATCCAGCTCCCTGCCAATTTGCCCAAGAAAGCAGAAAAAGATGGTCCGGCTGGCGCCGCGGCTCACTAGGCTAATCCTCCACCTGTGGCGCCGGCACCCCGGGTTCTAGTCCCAGTCAGGGCACCAGATTCTGTCCCAGTTGCCCCTCTTCCAGGCCAGCTCTCTGCTGTGGCCCGGGAGTGCAGTGGAGGATGGCCCGGGTGCTTGGGCCCTGCATCCTATGGGAAACCAGGAGAAGCACCTGGCTCCTGCCTTCGGATCAGCGCGGTGCGCCGGCCGTGGGGGCATTGGAGGGTGAACCAACGGCAAAGGAAGACCTTTCTCTCTGTCTCTCTCTCTCTCACACACTGTCCACTCTGCCTGTCAAAAAAAAAAAAAAAAAAAGATGGTCCAAGAACACGGCCCCTGAAACTCACAGGGGAGACCCGCAGGGAGTTCCAGATTCCTGGCTTCAGCCTGGCCTAGCTGTGGCCGCTGCCGCCATTTGGGGGCACCTCCCCTCACTCTCGCTCTCACTCTCTCCCTCCCTCCTTCCCTCTCTCTAACTCTGCCTTTCAAATAAATAAATAAATAAAATCTTTTTTAAAAGTTTTTTTTTTTTTTTAATGAATGGCCAATTCAAATGGAGGGACCAGAATCAAATGGCTTGTTAAAGACAAAAAATAGTGATCGCGGAACAAAGAACACAGAGCAGCTCAGGTGAGAGTCGGTCATGCAGTCTGCTGTGAACACCCGAGTCCGCGCGAGGCCGGGACGAGAACTCCACGAGCAGCGGCACACGGCACCGAGGCGGCCACCAGCAGGTCTCCGAGACCTTCCTAGAAGCTGCACTACAACCGAGTTCCAGGTGTGCTGAGGCCTCGCCTTCCGCCCCGGGCCTGCAGGGCATCGTCCATTCATCCCAGTGTGCTGGACAAACAGCAGCATTTGCCCACGAGGCTGCAGGCTGGGAAGGTTCGGGAAACTCTGCTCGAGAACAGGGAGGTCAGCAAACTTTTCCTGTAAAAGACGAGCTGGTGAGTCTTCAAAGCCACATCATCGCCGGGGCCTCCACTCAACCCCCACTGTACAGGGGGCGTGAAAGCAACCGCAGCTGACGGCGAAGCAACGGGCGCAGCTGTGCGCCAACTTCCGCGGTGGAGGCCGAGGCTGCAACTGCGCTTGATTTTCACTTGCCATGGAACAGCATTCTTCTTTGAACTGTGCTGGACCATTGAAAAGTCGGGGCCAGCGCTGTGCCACAGTGGGCTCAGCCTCCACCTGCGTTGCCGGCATCCCATATGGGCACAGTCCTGGCTGCTCCACTTCCGATCCAGCTCTCTGCTATGGCCTGGGAAAGCAGTGGAAGATGGCCCAAGTGCTTGGGCCCCTGCACCCACGTGGAAGACCCAGAAGAAGCTCCTGGCTTAGGATTGGCCCAGCTCCAGCCACTGTGGCCATTTGGGGTGTGAACCAATGGAAGGAAGACCTTTCTCTCTGTCTCTCTCTCTGTTTGTAGCGCTCTCAAATAAATAAATAAATCTTTTAAAAATATAGACCTGTCATTCTTTGCCCACGTGCTGTATGGAGACAAGCTGATCCACAGTGCCCCAGCTCCTGCTGTCCGTCGTCAAGGACCCCATCCAACTCTCCCGTGTGGCCTGAACTGCACAGCTCTCCTGCTGTTCCATGTGGGGACCACGACTGAGAGGTCCTCTACTCAATCCTCAGGGACTCAGAGAACCAGCAGGAACTCACACAATGCTTCTCAGAAATTGCCCGTCTGGGGTGGGCATTTAGTCTGGCAGGGAAGTCGCCAGTTAGGGCGCCTGCATCCCACAGCACAGCGGCCGGATTCTGCATTCGCAGCTCCAGCTCCTGACGGCGGCTGCCTGCTGGTGCAGACCCTGGATTGAGTTCCCGGACCTGGCTGCAGCCCCGGCCCAGCCCCCGCTGGTATGGGCACTTGGGAGTGAACCAGCAGACAGGAGTGTCTCTCTCCCTCTTCCTCTCTCTCAAATTAAATTAATTTAAAATTGTCCTTTGACCTCCAGCGAAAACTGGCTGGCAGTGGATCTCAAGTGCTTCCTGAAACAGGCCATGCCTGTGACAGAGGCCTCCAGCTGTTCCAAGTTCTTCCTGGCTGGCTTCCAGCCCCTGCTACTCCCTGTCCCCCTGATGCTGTCTGCAGGATGACCCAGTCCACCTTCCCCATGACAACTCTACTTCTTATCTGTGTCAGGGAAGGAAAACATGAAAGGAATGGGCTACACCCAGGAGAGGGAAAAAAAAAACCCATGCCAAGAGGGTTCAGAATGGACAGACTGTCTGGTGGAAAATACCACCTTTCCTTAAACAGCAGCTTTCACACACTGTTCTGCAGAGACCTCCCAAGAGGTCACGAGGCCAGCAAGGAGAAGAAAAGAGATTGTCCCCTCCACACCTGGCAGAGACGACCCCCAGGGTGGCCCAGGAGATGAATGAGCTGAGAAGTGCCCTGGTTTATAACACACCAACGGGCACATCCTCACCCACAGACCACGAAGACAGCACACTGAGTGATTCAGCAGCCTAAACAATTAAAATATGAATGCCCTGGGGACCAACTGATTCTTTAATAAAACTTTTAATTTCCCTGGAGCCAGACTGCTGCCTTAGAATAACACATTTTTACAAAAAAAAAAAAATTAGGGAAATGGGTTCCCGACGACCTCCTCCATGTGAGGTGCGCTCGTGCATCCTGCCGTGTAACCCTCAGGACAAAGCCAGCACAGAGAACCAGGGTCCTCCCTGCCCCAGATAACGTCACTCCGGGAGGAAGGGGTTCCAGGCTGCAAACCCAGAGCTGTCCTGCCTTAGAGGCCAGGCACTTCCTGCTGCACGACACCTAAAACTGCAGTCATTCAACTTACTTAGGGGTTATGAAATCATTGTGAAATGACCTAGAGACCAGGACAGGACAGAAAATGCCTCCGAATTGAAGCAGGTAAGAAATGATGTAAATCAACACAGGAAAAATAAATGTGGGAAACACACACCCATACTGATGAGGTTTTGGATTCTGTCCTACTCGCCTGATTAAAACAATACCATATGGGGGGCTGGCACTGTGGCGTAGCAGGTAAAGCTGCCACCTGCAGTGCCAGCATCCCATAGGGTGCTGGTTCTAGTCCTGGCTGCTCCACTTCTGATCAAGCTCTCTGCTATGGCCTGGGAAAGCAATAGAAGATGACCCAATGTCTTGGGCCCCTGTACCTGCATGGGAGACCCGGAAGAAGCTCCTGGCCCCTGGCTTCAGATTGGGCCAGCTCTGGCCATTACAGCTATTTGGAGAGTGAACCAGTAGATAGAAGACCTCTGTCTGTCTGTCTCTCTCTCTCTCTCTCTGCCTCTGCCTCTCTGTAATTCTGCCTTTCAAATAAATAAATATTTCTTAAAAAAAAATACCACACACAGAACATTGCAGCATTAAATAGGCACCACCCCCACTCCCGCCCGCTGGATATCCCCACTTAAAAATCCAGGAAAACAGAAGCCATAAACACCAAAAAGTCGTCTAGTTAAGATACCAAAAGTGGATCTAAAAATAAATAAGGAATCATGTTTCACTTTTTACTTCCAGCTCCTAAGAACTTCTTATACATATATTCATTCAAAACTATTTTTGGAGACCAACTCGTTTTGCAAGATACAGAGAGTGGTAGAACATGGTTTAATCTCTTCCATTAGCTTTGATCTGTGAAGCTAAGTTGTTGCTCTCTTTCTAACAAGAGGAGTCAAACTTTGGTCGGAAAAGAGCATCTCCTCCCCTGCAAACATTGAATGTCTACCCCTTGTGAAATGCCGTTGGTTATGTCACACCTTTACAACAGCCCGAGGCAACAGCCAAACACTACTGCTCCCATTTTTCCATTTTACAAATGTGCAAAAAATGGTCCACAAAGATCATAAGACAGCTTCCCTACAAAAGGGACAGAAAATCCAATGCAAACCAGTCTATGCAAAACAGAGGACTTAATGGTTTACTCCCTTAATGGTTTACTCCAAGGTGACAGCCACACTCAGGTCAAGTTCCATCAAGGCCGAGCAGATGATGCGGTCTCTACACCTTTCAGATCTGCTCTTGCCATTCTGACGTCGCTCTCCAATGCCGTGCAGTGCTGACAGCTGCTACGTAGGATGTGCAGAGTCATACCCTGCCAGTTTCAAGGCCGATGGAAGAGAGCACAGGTACTTCACTCAACAACCCCTAGGGCGGTCTCTCTGCAGGCTGACGGCTCTGGCGAGGACAGGTGCCTGCCCCCAGCCAATCACTGAGTTACGGAGGTTACTTACTTGTCACATCCTGATACCCACAATCGCATCTTCACTGGAGTTCATGGGCTAACAGGCGCGTGCGGGACTCTCTCAGAGGAACACTGTGCAGGGAGAACAAACACTATGCTATTGACTACAGTCACAGAGACCCTAAGAGACAAAAACCAGAACCCAAGCAGAGCAAGTCTTCCGGGACCAAGTACAGTCACAGGTCCCTCCCTACCAGTGCTTTTCTTTCCTTGGCTTCAGTTATCCACAATCAACCACAGCCCAAAAATATTGCATGGACCATTCTAGAAATAAACCAGTTAGAAGTTGTAAATAATTTGTACTCTAGTATAGTGCCATTCTGTTTTCATAGTTGTAACGGTCAATCTCTTGATGTGCCTAATTTATGAATGTAACATTATCATAGACATGTATATGTGGGAAAAGATACAAAGTATAGGGTTCCACTCTATCTGAGGTTTTGGACAAATACCAGGAGTCCTGGAGCACATCCCTCAGGTACAAGGGGAGAAGGACTGGGGCTGGCATCGTGGCATAGACGGTAAAGCCACCGCCTGCAATGCCAGCATCCCATATGGGTGCTAGTTTGTATCTTGGCTGCTCCACTCCTGATGGAGCTCTCTGCTATCGGCATGGAGAAAACGCAGCAGAAAATGTCCAAGTGTTTGGGCACCTGCTCCCCACATGGAGACCTGGAAGAAGCTCCAGGCTTTGGCCTGGCCCAACCCTGACCATTGCAGACATCTGGGAAGTGAACCAGCAGAGGGAAGATTTTTCTCTCTCTCTGTCTTCCTCTCCCTCTGTCTCTCCTTCCCTCTCTGTCTCTCTCTAACTTGAACTTCAAATAAAAAAATAAATCTTTAAAAAACAAAAAGTGAGGGGGACTCCGGGTACTCCAAAAATAATGGCAAAGAGTTTTTTGAAATACAAAAGTAAATCACAAAACGTCCTCCCCACTCAATCTCCTGGCCACAAATAACAATCTAAAACACCTGACAACTGAGCCTATGCACTTCAAAGAAAGCCAGGTTCCTTGTACAAAATACCATGTTGGTGAAATTAAACAAGGCTACCGTTATCTAAATCAAAATCCCTTTATAGCCTCTAAATGGTTCCTCGCCATCTGGAGAGTCAGAACATTGTACTCAGAAGTAAAAAGGAGCGGCTTTTTGACCTATTTTTGTCCCTACGATAATGTAAAGCGCCAAATGCTATTTATTAAAGCACCTTCCAAGGAGGCTATTGCCCCGGCTATTTGCAATTCAAAAATGACACCTATTATTTGTTAGAGATTAGAATCTCAAGCAGTAAGGTGTTTTTAATAAAAAATAAAATTAAAAATAGATTCGCCATGGCCTTTTTAATGAAACCAGTAGCTCTGCTGGCTTAGAGGGAAAATGACATATTTCTTGGGGTTTTTATATATTGATCTGAGCAGCGCTAAGGGAGGAAAAAAGTCACCAACCTTCCTATCTTGAACAACTGTACACTGCTTCTCCACTCACCGCAGAGTCTACCTCCCCAGTCTGCCGCCCTGACTCTCCTACCGAAACAGAAGAAATCCTCTGAAACCTGACACAGGCGGGGCCCACAGAACACCAGGTGCAGCCTGCCAGTCGGGTGCCAAGGAAGACAATGACTCAGCCCTGCCCTGGCCCACAGAACATTCTGGAAGATGTGCTCGACGGCTATCCATGCTCTCCAACGTGGTGGCCGCTTGCTGCACATGGCTGTTGAGACTCAGAACCAGAGATCTAATTTTATTTAATAATTTATTTACAGTATCCACACGCAGCTATCAGCCCCTGAGGAGAGAGACAGCTCGGATGTGGTCCTTGAGAATTCTCCTGTGTGTCTGCTCCCTCTCTCGCCCACACTTCCTGCCCCAACCCAAACCACCCGCTGCAGATCTCGAAACTGTGGCTCTGAGCCGCTGCACATGCTGTTCCTCTGGCCCTGCTCTCCTACACTCCCTTCCTGCCCCACAGTCCTTGTCATCCCCAAACCCGGCCAGGCACCACCTCTTCCAAGGAGCCTTCGATGGTTTTCCCTCCTGTCCTGCACACGCATGAGCTCACCCTGCCTCCTCCACCACCTCTGTGCGTTCACCCATTCCCGCAGCTGTGTCCACTGTAGTGCAGTGGATCTTCAGTCCATCCTTTCATGGGGGAAGACAGCAGAGTACGGGCAGAAGACCGAGCACCCTGGACACAGCTGTCTGCGTCAAATCCCGTCTCTACCACCCACGACCTCAGCCAAGTTCCATGATCTCTCTGAGCCTCGGCGTCCATCTATACAATGGAGCTATTGTCAGCAACTCTCCCAGATGGTGGTCTGAGGATTCAATGGCCGAACACAGGCAAGCATTCGCAGGGAAGAAGCAGAGGTTCAATAAAATCGATCTCTGCTGTATCCATTTTCATTAAATTATCAGACTGTGTACTGCTGAGTATGGGCCACGTCTTGGCCATGCCTCTAAGCCAGATCACAGCACACATTCATTGAAGATTAAAATAACAAATGACGACTCCAGGGTACGGACATCACTCGTGAGCTTACTTCTAAGTATTCTTCACAGTGCTAAATAGCCTTGCCCAAAAGGTTCACCTGAGAGGCTCAAGAGATCTCCACACTGGTAAGCAGGCCAAGAGGGGCGGGGTCTCAGCTAGACTCAAGACCTAATGAGGACTTAAACTGCACTCAAACCCTCCCCCCACCAAACTCCCCACCACCACTCCAAACCCTGCCCCCAACCTGGCCAAATCTCTACCCAAATGACACTGATGAAAATAAGCCTTACCTGGAAGGCTTAGGTGCACTACAGTAAGTTTAAGGACCAGGGATCAAACATTAGCATAAAAAAAGGCAGGCACAACTCAGCTTCAACAGTCTGTTCAGGCCCTTCTGTACAGACTGATGTACCCACTGCCTTCTTTTTTTGACAGGCTGAGTGGACAGTGAGAGAGAGACAGACAGAAAGGTCTTCCTTTGCCGTTGGTTCACCCTCCAATGGCCACCACGGCCGGCGCGCTGCGGCCGCTGATCCGATGGCAGGAGCCAGGTACTTCTCCTGGTCTCCCATGGGGTGCAGGGCCCAAGCACCTGGGCCATCCTCCACTGCACTCCTGGGCCACAGCAGAGAGCTGGCCTGGAAGAGGGGCAACAGGGACAGAATCCAGTGCCACAACCGGGACTAGAACCCGGTGTGCCGGCGCCACAAGGCGGACGATTAGCCTAGTGAGCCGCGGCGCCGGCCTCCCACCGCCTTCTTGCCTGGAAGGGCTGGGGGGTACTGTAACTTACAGAAACAGCCCTCATTCTAGCTGGGCTCTACCACTGCCCCCGGCCCTCAAAGATGGGTTCTCTGGAGACCCCGCAGTCTCCTTGGTGTTACTGAAGATGAGCAGCAGGTGCAACAAGCATTAACAATGACTCAGGGCTCAGGATACAGGCTTTCCAGCCCGCCTACAGCCCAACCCTAGAGGCTGCTCTTCTCCCAAATTCAAGGTCTTCCTCCTGGCACACGCGTGTGGCCAGGAGGCTGGTGCAAGATCAAGGTGGGAGCTCGGAGCACACAGTAAGGGTGCGGTCAGCGGGGCTTTCAGGCTGGAGCCCGGCAGGCAGAGAGCGGCTCCATCCCGGCTGGATGAATGCAGGCAGGAGCTCTATCTTCCTGGGAAACCCAGGCTAACCACTGGAGAGTGGCATACCAGAGTGGAGCAAGGAACGTGTGGAATTGGTCGCTGGCTTCCTCCAACTTAACGACTTTATGCCAAATGAAATCTTACGGGGAAACTCCAAGATACAAAGCACAGAGGGGAAGCAGCCCTGACTGACATGCAAGTGCAGGGTTTTGAAATCCCATTCACCTAAGCCTCCCTCTCTCACCTGTCCCCGCCCTTGGACAGACTCCTAGAACTTAGGAGAATGGCATAAGGAAATCATAGCTTCTTTTTTTTTTTTTTTTTTCTTTTGACAGGCAGAGTGGACAGTGAGAGAGAGAGACAGAGAGAGACAGAGAGAAAGGTCTTCCTTTTGCCGTTGGTTCACCCTCCAATGGCCGCCGCGGCCAGCACACTGCAGCTGGCGCACCGCGCTGATCTGAAGCCAGGAGCCAGGCACTTCTCCTGGTCTCCCATGGGGTGCAGGGCCCAAGCACTTGGGCCATCCTCCACTGCACTCCCTGGCCACAACAGAGAGCTGGCTTGGAAGAGGGGCAACCGGGACAGAATCCGGCACCCCGACCGGGACTAGAACCCGGTGTGCCGGCGCCGCTAGTTGGAGGATTAGCCTGTTGAGCCACGGCACTGGTCACATAGCTTCTTTCTATCACAACATCAAGCTGGAGAATTTCAGGATGCCCTCTACAATGGACTCTCCACCACCTAGCTCTAAGGAGGGGCTGAGAAACAGGGTGGATTTTTTCCTTTAGGTGGTTATTAGGTGGCAGGCACTTGGCAAGCGGTTAAGTCACCACTTAGGACGCCTGTGTCCCATCCTGGAGTGCCTCGTGCCCTTCCAGCTAATGTACATGCTGGGAGGAGGCAGTGGTGATGGTTCAAGTATGGAGGTCCTTGCCAACCACATGGGAGACCCCCATGGAGTTCTAGGCTCCTTGTGGGCAATTGAGCACTGAACCGGGGGATAGAAGATCTCTGTTTCTTTGCCTTTCAAGTAAAACAAAAATATTTTTAATTACTCATTATAAAAAATCTCAAATATATTCATAAGAGGAATGAGTCCCGATACTTGTATATGCATGACCCAGTGTCAACAATCATCAAGTCACACACAATCTCTCGTTTTCTTGCTTCCCAGTCCCCCTCCCCCAACGCCCTGGATTGCTCTGGAGCAAGTCTCCAGAAAACCATTATCATCTCAGTCACAAATCTTTCAAAATACCTTTAAAAAAAAAAAAAGACTTTTAAAAACTAAGTCTCAATGTCAGTATTGCACTAAAAGTCATCATCACCATCTGTGGCCAGCATTGTGGTGTAACAGGTTAAGGAGGTTCATATCCCAGCTGCTGCACTTCTGGTCCAGCTCCTCGCTAACGCGCCTGGGAAAGCAGCAGAGGATGGCCCACGGGCTT